TGGTCCTCACTGGGCACGCGGACGCTTCTTGGGCTGACAATCAGGCTACGCAGCGGTCGTCACAGGGTTACACCTTCAGTCTTTGTTCCGGCTCGGTTTCGTGGTGATCTACTCGCTCGTCTTCTGTTCTCGGCTCCAGTTGTGAGGCTGAGATCTACGCCGGGGCCATGGCTGCACAGGAGCTTCGCTGGCTCACCTACCTGCTGACTGACCTAGGAGAGCCGCCTCGTTCTCCTCCAGTCTTGTACGTAGACAGCAAGGCCATGCTGGCCTTGTGTCGGGAGCAGCGCCTGGAGCACAGAACGAAGCACATTGCTCTCCGCTACTTTCTTTCTCGTGAGTTGCAGCAGCGTGGTCAGTTGCGACTTGCATACGTGGCCTCTGAGGCCAACACTGCTGATGTTTTCACCAAGGCACTTCCGCCTTGTGATCATCAGCGCTTCTGTGCTCAGCTGGGTCTTGTGCCTGTCTTGCCTCATTTGCTCACCCCTTGACATTGCTTGTACTCTTACATATATGTATACCTGCTCTTGCTTGTTTAGCCTTATATATATATGTGTACTCCTGCATGTTAACTGGCCTTGTTGCCTTGACCTTGTGCTCGGACTGTGTGGTGACGTTGTGATCCACCCTGAGCTTTGTCTGCTTTGCTTGACTGGTCTTTTGACCCCTTGTTCTCCCCCACTTTGCCTATGGGGGTGTGTCAAATTATAATATTGTGTAGGCTATAGTGGGGTAGCCTATATGGGGTACACATTTCTCGGGTTGCACATTTGTATCACTTCCATTCCTTAGTCATGTCATTCTCGTTCTACTTTCCTCACGCTGCCGACATGGTTTGATACATTTGTAATGTTTTATGCTGTCTTTTTAGTGTCGTCCTCTTTTCACGACTAAAATTTCACAGGTTGTTACTTAAGTCATCGAACATTTCATTGCAACGTTTGGTGCGAATCTACTGTCGCCGCGATGTATTTACTTTTGTGCCATGCGTTCTGTGTTTGCCTAACCATCCTGGATTGTACTGCAGTGTTTGGCAGTGCTAAGGATGATTATTTGTCATGGTGTTTAGCAAAATCTCCTATAAATCTAACCCCTCTGGAGCAATCTTCAGCGTGATGCATAACATCTCGATCTGTTTGCATGTGTTGCAGGCCGTACCTTTCTTGCAGGCTTACAGTCAACATGAAGCGCATTATGTGTATTTTTTCCCCATTATAGCACACTCTTAATGGTGAGTGGTGGACAGTGGACATCTTTTGCGAATTACGAAACCGAGTGGTGAGTGGCGCAAAGTTGACATCTTTTGCTTGTTCACTGTGTTTTTCCTTTGTTTGTTCTTGCAGGTTTAATTCGTTTCCTAAATCTGCAGAGTTTGCAGCTTGTTAGGTGTGTATAGGCATAGTGATTGTACTAAGGTTGTATTGGACACTTTGCAGTGCATTTCAAGTTTGGCGTATTTGTACGAACCAAGTGAGTGTATGCGTTGTGAATATTATTTGAAGTATGAAGAGATATGCACATTATAGTACACATATTATAAGGTTTTTTCTGCAATCGCCAGCCAGTTGTACGCTGTTACTGTAAATCGATGCCATGCTCTGATTGGTCCACATAGTAGGATCACGTGCGTCAATCACAATCGCATCCGACGATTAACGTTAGAGTACAGTATCCGCCACGTCAGCACGTTGGAGTTTCATCTCGAGTACGTCGTATGCCATGTGGCGTTGTCGTGACACTTTCGCACGGGTTGCTCAGAATTGACGGAAAAGTTGCTTTACTCTATACTTGGTCAGTTGAGTCAATGTGTACAGTTAGTGACGGAAGAGTGACGGAAAAGTTGCTTTGTAAGTGACGTTCGGTATGCAGTTTTAGAATCTTGACTTGAAAATGCCGGGAAAAAAACATCGGGAAAGTTGCGGAAGAGTGTATTTTGAGTTGCTTTTGTCCGAATGTTATTGTTCTCTAGCCTGTAGTGGGGTACTCTATAGAGAGTACAACCCCTTAGGGTTTCCTATATGTATCCTGCTGCTTTCTAGTGAACCCCCTCTCCTTCATTCTTGTTCTAGTTTTCTCATGTTATCAGAGTGGTTCCGATCCTAGGACCCAACTGCTTCCGCTGCTCCTCTGTGCTCGGCACGCCCCGTGGCGTGCTCCTCGCGCTTCTCTTAGCGGCCCCGTTGCCGCCCTTCCTAGCCCCTCGCGGCCCCTTCGCGGCCCCGTTGCCGCCCTTCCAGGCCCCTCGCGACCCCTTCGCGGCCCCGTCGCCGCCCCTTTCGCGGCCCGTCGCCGCCCTTCCGCGGTCCCGTCGCCGCCCTTCCGCGGCCCCGTCGCCGCCCTTTCAGCAGCCCCGTCGCCGCCCTTCCACGGCCCCGTCGCCGCCCTTTCAGCGGCCCCGACGCCGCCCTCTCCGCGGCCCCGTCGTCGCCCCTTACAGCGGCCCCGTCGCCGCCCTTCAGCGGCCTCGTCGCCGCCCTCTCCGCGGCCCCGTCGCCGCCCCTTCAGCGGCCCCGTTGCCGCCAGCCCTTCAGCGGCCTTGTCGCCGCCCTTCAGCGGCCCCGTCGCCGCCCTTCAGCGGCCCCGTTGCCGCCCTTCCTCGGCCCCGTCGCCGCCTACAGCGGCCCCGGCCCCACCCCGGCCATGCCCCGCCGCCAGCCGCCAGCCGCGGCGCACCGGTGCACCGCCCCCCCCCCCCCCCCCCCCCCCCCCCCTTTTCCCGTCGCCCGTCGCGGCTCCTTCGGGGGCCGCGACCTGGGGGGGGGGGGGGGGGGGCGAGCGTCGCCCCTTCTGCCGCCTGCTTTGGCGCCCTGGGAGGCCGCGCGTCGGCATCCCCCCCCCCCCCCTCCCTACCCGCCATCCCGCCCTGCCCTGTGTTAGGGTTTGGGGGTGGCAAGAAGGGGGTGACGGGTGTGTGGTCTCCCCTGCTCCTCCTCCTCCTTCGTCTCCCACTGCTGCAGCTGTCGCTGAGGGGGGTGGATGTGTGGGAGCCTGAGGTTTAGGGTTTAAGGGGGGTACTGTGGGAGTGGAGCTAGGGTTTTGAGGGAGGTGGATGTGTGGGCATCTGGGGTTTAGGGTTTACGGGGGGTGCTGTGGGTGTAGGGTTAGGGTTTGAGCAGGGGGTGTGTGAGAGGGGCGTTGGGCAGCTGGGGGAGGTTGCGTGGAGGCAGCAGTCTTGTCGTCAGCAGCACCAGTAGTCCGGAGGCTACAATCTCCGGTAGTCGCCAGTCGCTTGTGGGTCAGTTGCTCGTCTGCCGCTACTTTTAGCCGCGGAGCCAGTTACTCCTGTAGTCCGGGCCTTTGCTTCGGTAGCGACTGAGCCAGCAGCTCGTCTGTGTGTCTGCAGCGTCAGCAGTCGCCTCCCATCTTCTCTCCCCCACAGTCTCTCCTCCTCCTCACTTGCCCTCTGTGATTAGCTCTAGCCTTACTTACCTATTGTGAACTCCTGCTCTATGCCTGCTTGCTCATTCTGCTGATTACACCCCACTTTGGCTATGGGGGTGTGTTAGAATGTTATTGTTCTCTAGCTTGCAGTGGGGTACTCTATAGTGAGTACAACCCCTTAGGGTTTCCTATATGTATCCTGCTGCTTTCTAGTGAACCCCCTCTCCTTCATTCTCGTTCTAGTTTTCTCAGCTTTCCGAACTTCCCATTTTCGCGATGTTGTCACATCTTGAACTCTGTCACTGTTTAGTTCCAGATGTTTTGGCAAGAACTTACTTTGATTTGAGAGTAACTTTCTTCGCGTATCCAGAGAGAGCCGATTTGCTGCACGTCAGAGCATTCGTATGGTACTGAGTCCCGTTAGTCAGAACCGTGACGCCGCTCACTGGCGTTGCCCCTGCAGCTGCGGCTGGTGTCACGTGCCTTGCGGCAAGACCGAGCCTGAACGCCGATAGCACAGTGAGAGTCACGATGAACGCAGACAGGATCGTCATGTTTAGAGGACTGTAAGCCATTAGAGATTAGGCGACAAAATCTGGAAATCTGAATTCTGCCGAGAAAATTGCGGTTTGAGCTGTAATCCATGTATATCAGTTGAAGTTGAAGGGAGACGAAAGCTGATGTCCAATTTCTGACGGGTTGTGTTATGCTAGGCATAGTTTGCTGCATGGGGGAAGCAGCAATCGTGCCTGTATATGGCAAGTCCGAGCCGCATCCACAGATTTAGTGATTGGCTAGAGCGCTGCGAGAGAACGACTTCACAGTTTAAGTGGTAATGCAATTCGCCAGCGTCGTAGCATGCTCGGTAAACCATTCCAAGCCAAATTGCGGGTGATGCGGCGAAACTGCTGCTTACTGATTTTGACTGATGTGGCATAAGGTCACCAAGCTTCCTCAGGTCAGCCCGTGCCACGTCACGAAATACACGGTGTCCTCGCCAATTTCGCGTCCCCTGAAAATTTTCACAAATCACCCTTGACTGTTTCTGGCTTTCTAGAGAAACAATTCAGGAACCAGAGGCTACTCGTGAGATCCTTTAGTGTCGATCTCGCGAAATTCACTTGGCGGCTCCAGCGCATAGCCTAGATTTTCAGCTGCGACCATGCTTTTTGTTTTCCTGCTGACTCGTGAGCGCGGTCTCGAACATCTTCCGACTTAAAATCTTAGCTCTCCTTATGACCGCCGATTTCGGGTAAACCAGAAAGGATTGCCCAGGGGTGTGAAATTGGTGGGATTGAAATTGGCGGGGCCCGTTTGTACGCGACACGGCATGCTTTGGCGCAAGTACAAAGCAGGGACGGGTCAACGAAGATCGGTCAACACCTGACACGAGGCTTGAGAAAGGCTGAGGTGGCATTTATTGTAACGAAGCGGGATTGCACGGAAAGGGAAGGCGTCAACGTTTGTTGGGGACATTCACAAGACCAGAGAGGAATTTCGGGGACGAGTATGCAGTGTAGGAACTGCACGCACCCCATTAGTCCATCTCACCTAATTTATTACAATATGAGCACGTGTTTCTATGTGCCACAAGTTGTTTTGCTTGTCCTAAGAAACTAATCCAGAATGAAGGCCTGCAAGGAGCCAACGAAAAAAAAAAAAAAAGGGATCATTAGAAGAACTAAACGTAGCGATTTAACATTAAAAGGGAATGAACCAACATATCTACATTAAAAAAAAAAAAAAAAAAAAAAAAAAAAAAAAAAAAAAAAAAACATTGGACACTGACCTCGTTCTCTGCTCCCATGTTTTCATCCTCATTGTCGTCATCGCCGACGTCAACCAGCTCAACCATTTTCTCCATTGGTTGAAAGCGTTGCTCCCTCAACATCCAATTCGGTCTCTTCCCCTGGATCACCGAAGCTCCGCTTGCTACTTTACCCCCATTAACCTCACCATAAACATCTACCTGATTTTTGTCCCCTCCCCCATCGTCACCTCCACCAACCTCATCCTGAAGAGCCACTCCTTCCTTGACCCCTCCTCTCACACTCCCTTTTTGTAGTAACCCTCCCCCCTCAGAATACTTACTCCCTGTTACCCCGCTTCCACTCCCCAGAGTCTCACCCCCTATGTTCCCTTTTTCTCCAGCTTTTGCTCGCTTAAGCGGAGGAACATACAGAGCCTGCTCCTCACCCCCCGATGCCTTTTGAGTCAACTCAAATGTCTCCACGCCTTTAGCTCGCTTGAGCGGAGGTACATAGGGGGCCTGCTCCTCATCCCCCGATGCCGCGGCCAGAAATCGCTTGCCCTGCGACACAGGCCGGCTCGTGAGGTTCTCCTTCTCCCTGAGAATGCTCCTCAGGGCATCTTGGTCTAGAGCAGCAACAGGCCTTGCTCCCCTCCTGCTGCTGCCCCCGCTGCCACATGTACCATTGCCCAGCAGCACCTGCCGGGAGCGTCGGACGTTGTTTCGGTACAGGAATGCAGTCGAGAGGTTCCTGTAGGGTGTGAGCAAAGAAGAAAAGGGTGTGTGAAAGGGAGTGGGATGGGATGAATGGTGCAGCTGCCGGAAACTGCTTGCCCTGCAACACAGGGCGGCTCGTGAGATTCTCCTTCTCCCTGAGAATGCTCCTGAGAGCGTCTTGGTCCAGAGCAGCCACAGGCCTTGCCCCCCTCCTGCTGCTGCTCCCACTGCTGCATGTGCCATTGCCCAGAAGCACCTGCCAGGACCGCCACACGTTGTTTCGATACAGGAACGCCGTTGAGAGGTTCCTGCAGGGTGTGTGTATAACAAAAAAAGGGTGTGTGAAAGGGAGTGGGATGGGATGAATGCTGCAGCTGCCAGAAACAGCTTGCCCTGCGACACGGGCCGGCTTGTGAGATTCTCCTTCTCCCTGAGAATGCTCCTGAGAGCGTCTTGGTCCAGAGCAGCCACAGGCCTTGCCCCCCTCCTGCTGCTGCTCCCACTACCAGTATGTTGCATATGAAAACACTTTCTTCAAGGGTGTGACCATATGGAGAAAACGGGTATGGGTGGGTGGTGGAGGTGGGGGTAAAACAAGCCTTCAACCAGCACAGCGGAAATTGACATACTGAAGCTGCTTTTCAGGATTTTCAAACTTTAGTCCTAGAACTCAACCGGCAGTGACAGGGATTTCCATCCACACTCACCCTCCGTCCAGCTCGAGGCGGGTTGGCTTCATCTTCTGATATGCTGCTGCAATGTGGCGGTCACAGTACTCTGCAAAGGTTCTGACATTGGATGGGATGGGATGAGATGGGATGAGATGGGATGGGATGGGATGGGATGGGATGAGATGGGAGAGGACGGGAGGGGGATGGGATGAGAGGTCAGGGGATGGGACGGGAGCTGGAGGAGAGCAGGTTTCTTCTACTGATACGCTGCTGCAATGTGTTTTGAGAGCAGAGTGCATATGATGGCGGATGGGAGGAGATGGCAGATGAGACAGGGAAGACGAGATGCGATGCACGGTACTGTACGGATTGCTGGGACGAAATAGAACGATCTCGAGGGGGAACGTGGCAGTCACAGCAGTCTGCTACGGTATCGACAGTATAGGGCTGATGGGATGCGACGGATGGGATGGGATGAGATGGGTGGCATGAGATGGCATTGCACGGCATCTAGGTGACTTATGAGTCGACTCAAAAGTCACCTCGTGGCAGTCACAGCAGTCTGCTACGGTTTCGACAGTATAGGGCTGATGGGATGCGACGGATGGGATGGGATGAGATGGGTGGCATGAGATGGCATTGCACTGCATCTAGGTGACTTATGAGTCGACTTAAAAGCCACCTCGTGGCAGTCACAGCAGTCTGCTACGGTTTCGACTGTATAGGGCTGATGGGATGCGACGGATGGGATGGGATGATTTTTGAGGCGCCTCAAAAATAGGGCGTGGGATGTGACGGATAGGGATGGGATGAGATGGGTGGCATGGGATGGCATTGCATGGCATCTAATGGTGTGTCATAGGATCGCTGCCCTCCATGATCCCCGTGCATGATGAGATGCCATGATGGCACACTCACTGGCACATCAGGGCAGGTACTGTTTTGACATGCGAGCGCACACACACACACACACGTGATAGAATTTGTATTTTGAGACGTCTCAAAATACAATATTTATCACGTGCATGATGAGATGCCATGATGGCACGCACACTGGCACATCAGGGCAGGTGTTGTTTTGATATGCGCGCGCACACACACACATGGGCGTCGAAACGGGTTATGCTAATCACTTGTTGATCACAACCTTGCAAGGTTCGTTGCCTTTCATACCCACTTGTTGATGACGGCCGTGCAAGGCTCGTTGCCTTTCATACCCACTTGTTGATGACGGCCGTGCAAGGCTCGTTGCCTTTCATACCCACTTATTGATGACGGCCGTGCAAGGCTCGTTGCCTTTCATACCCACTTGTTGATGACGGCCGTGCAAGGCTCATTGCCTTTCATACCCACTTGTTGATGACGGCCGTGCAAGGCTCGTTGCCTTTCATACCCACTTGTTGATGACGGCCGTGCAAGGCTCGTTGCCTTTCATACCCACTTATTGATGACGGCCGTGCAAGGCTCGTTGCCTTTCATACCCACTTGTTGATGACGGCCGTGCAAGGCTCGTTGCCTTTCATACCCACTTGTTGATGACGGCCGTGCAAGGCTCGTTGCCTTTCATACCCACTTGTTGATGACGGCCGTGCAAGGCTCGTTGCTCTCCATGACTCCCTTGCAGATGGTAGCGGCATTGCATGGTATGGTATGGCATGATATGATATCGCATGGCATGGTATGGTATGGCATGGCATGGTATGATATTACTCACTTGTTGATGACGGCCGTGCAAGGCTCGTTGCTCTCCATGACTCCCTTACAGATGCCGAAGTCCCTTGCAGTGCCAACTGGCAGGATTTGATTGGCTCGGAACACGCGGAGCGACGGCGGGAGATTCTGCCATGGCAACACGTGGATCGGAGTGTGCGGGGAGTGTGTAAACGAGTGCTGATGTGTGTGCGAGTGCGTGAGTGTTGGTGGAGTGTGTGTGGGCAATACCCAAGATCTTTTGCGACGCCAGGAAAAACGTCACCCTGGGAGGAACAGGCACCTCCCCCACTCCTCCCAGCCTGGTAGACACCCTCTGTAGGTCCCTTGACTCACTCACCCCTTGGAGGATTGGCTTCTGCTCCTAGTACTGCCACGCTGCCACCGCCCCCATCTCCTGCTCGCAGAACACATCAAACGCCGCCCCGAACAGCAACACAAGGGTGCATTGACTCACTCACCCCTTTCGGTGGGTTGGCTTCTGCTCCTAGTACTGCCACGCTGCCACCGCCCCCATCTCCTGCTCGCAGAACACATCAAACGCCGCCCCGAACAGCAACACAAGGGTGCATTGACTCACTCACCCCTTTCGGTGGGTTGGCTTCTGCTCCTAGTACTGCCACCACCGCCCCCATCTCCTGCTCGCAGTACACATCAAATGCCGCCCCGAACAAAAACACAGTCACCTCCTCCACCCCTCCCAACCAACAACGGCCTCTGTAGGTCCCTTCACCCTTTGGCTCACCCCTTTTGGCGGGTTGGCTTCGGCTCCTAGTATTGCTACCACCGCCCCCATCTCCTGCTTGCAGTACACATCAAACGCTGCCCCAAACAAGAACACAGTCACCTCCTCCACTCCCCCCACTCCCCCTCCTCCTTTCCTTCCTGCTCCCCCTCCTCCTCTGCTCCCCCCCAGAGGACCACAGAGAGAAGAGAGTTTCCAAGACATGAATGGACGGGAAGAGGAGGAGGATGGTTTGGTGGTGGCTGTGGCTTTAGTGGTGGCAGTGGCAGTAGCTTTAGCCGTGGCCGAGGATTTGGCAGGGGCAGTGGCCTTGGCAGTGGCAGTGGTTTTAACAGATGAGCATCCGGATATGACGGCAATAGTCGCCCACGCCCCAGCCAGCTGGCTCCTTCCGCCAATCAGAGCGGAGCTGGAGCAGAGCAGCGGGAGTGAGAAGGTGAGCAAGGGAGAGTAGGAGGCTGTGAAACACATGCAAGGAGTGATTCGAAATCGTGAAACGCATGCAAGGAGTGATTCGAAATCGTGAAACGCATGCAAGGAGTGATTCGAAATCGTGAAACACATGCAAGGAGTGATTCGAAATCGTGAAACGCATGCAAAGAATAATGCACACGCAGAAAGCGCATGCACATACGAGGCGAAAAAAGCGAATGTCAGCCAGAGGATGGGACACATCATGATACGTGGAACAAAGATTTGGTGTCTCAGCAACGGCTAGAGAACACATGGTCGTACGAGATGGCTTCGAGGCGAAGGAAGCGGATGTCGGCCAGTTTCTGCCTCAATTGGGGTGCCGAGATGAAACGGTTCCTGTTGGGAGATGAAACGGATAACAGTCACCAAAGAGCCATGCATGTAAGAAACGTCTATAGACCCTTTCACACTACGATCCCCACTCCGTAGACTGTTGAAATACGTTGAAGTGTTTTTTATATCGCTCATTCGCAGAGATGAGGTTCTCAATCCTTTCAAGCCTTCTGCATCACCGCAGGCGAATGCCCCGGGAGCTTCTCCACATCCCCCAGGGCCCTCTCCTTGGCTCTCCTCGCTGCGCTCTCTACCATAGACGCAGACTAAAATGAGACATCTCAAAAAGTCATGAGACGTTTGACTCACCTCAGGCGAATGCCCGAATGCTCCTCCACATCCCCCAAATTCCTCTCTCTGGCCCTCCTCGCTGCACTCTCAACCAGAGTCACAGTTGTCGCAGCCCTCCCCACTGATTGCCCGCCGCCGGAAACCCCTCCGGGAGAAATCTCTGAGCCTGCTGCCAACCCCCCTCCGCCTGTCATACCTACTTTTGTCACTCCTGCTGCTGCTGCTACTGCTGCTGCCGTTCCTGTTCCTGTTGCTGTTGCTGTTGCTGTTGCTGTTGCTGTTGTTGCTGTTGCTGCTGCTGTTGCTGCTGTTGCTGTTGCTGTTCTTGCTGTTGCTGTTGCTGTTCTTGCTGTTGCTGTTGCTGGTGCTGTTGTTGCTGTTGCTGTTGCTGTTGCTGCTGTTGCTGTTGTTGCTGTTGCTGTTGTTGCTGTTGCTGCGGCTGTCGCTGGTGCTACCCCGACAACAGGGTCTGATCCTGCTGGTGCTGCTCCCTCTGCTGTGGCTGCTGCAGCTGCATTTCCTGCCATGGTTGGTGTTGCTGCAGTTGCTGCTGGTGGTGCTGTAGTTGGTATTGCTGCCCGTGGTGCTCCCTCTGCTGTGGCTGTCGAGGCCTCTTCCGCTCGTGCTCCTGCCGGACGTTCCGTTCGCTCAGACGCGACAGCTGAAGCAACGGTTGGAGCAACGGCTCGAGCGACGGTCGAAGGGAAGGCGAGGCTGCTAGGGAAGACTGAACATGACTTATCCGTAGTACTCGGAACTAATCGGTTACCAGAATAGTTGCCGCTAATAAACTGAAACCCCACGCCTGATCCAATGTCTCCCCTTCCGCCATTCGAGACCTTGAGTCCTGAACCCCGCACTGAAATTCCTGATGAAACCCCCACTGATTTCCCCGCGTTACTAGGAGACGCGTTATTGTCAAAGCCGGCAGTTTTCTGACGACTGGAAAAACTGAAAGCCTGACTGCTATCCATGCCACGGCCATTGCTGCTTCTTTTCCTTTCGTCCGAATTGCCTGTCCCAGCTCCACTTAGAAAAGAAGTTGCGCCTCTGGGGTTTGGAGCCATGGCACCGAACCGTGCAGCTTCAAACTTAGACTTCGTCGCCGGAGCTTGAAACTTAGACTTAGTCGCTTGAGGAGCGAAAACGCGAGCTCCTCTGTTCGGAGGGGCTCTTTTGTTGCTTGGAGTTCCTCTGCTGAAAGGAGCAGGAGCTGCTTTGTTTGCGTGATACCCTCTGGTCGGTGGAGGAACGGAAGCGAATCGAGCAGAGGACGTCTGCAAGGACGACGACGGCGCGAAAGCAGGTGCGTTTGAAGCGAAAGCAGCGCTTCCGTTGCTGACGGCATTCGACGAGACGTTTTCAGCGACGAAGCATCTGAAAGCGGACATGTCCGCCGGCCCTGACGGCTGTAAGAGCTCGTCCTCGCTGTCGTATCCACCCGAACGATCTCCGCCATTAGATGCGGGACAATCGTGAACCGGAACATCAATGTCTTCAATTTCGAAATTTGGGTCCATAGCATGATGCGAGCTTGGTGATGATCCTACCTGGCCGGTAAGCGGGGATTGATAAGTCATAGTCGCTTCGTCGAGTGGCCCTTTTCCTAAACCAAAGTCGAGAATATCGAGAGGTTCACTCTCTAGGCAAAGTTTGAAATAAATCTAATCGGCAACCAGAATATCAATCACGAATAGGACGATTTCTGGTGGACTGGGAAATTTCCAACTAGGAACGGTGTATTCAGCCTGGCCGAAACTGTCAGCCCTGATTGATGTGGTCCATGGCCAAACGCTATCACCTTGGTTTCGCGGAGTTCTAAGAGGTTGGCGAACTTGAAACAAGCAAATTCAAATTTGAATTGCCGTAATTTAGGCGACTTTGGGAGGATGCATCGCAACCGTGTAATCGCCCCACCCCTCCTTCACTCTTGATCTTGTCCGTCTAATCACCAGCCCTTTCTAATCTGGAGTTGCGTCACCGTGAAGCCAATTCGGCCAATTTGCTACACCGAGGATAACCACATAAATATGGATATACCAAATGTAAGCACAAGCCTGTTTGATTAACAAGCAACTCGCCTTCTCCTACGATTGCAACAAATAGAACACAGAAGGCATGCGTAAGACGCCAAATCCTGAATCCTGTATACCCACGCACCCTGCAATTTCATAGTACAGAAATAAATGCTGAGACTTTAGTTACTAGACAAACCTTACAACACGCATGCACGACAAAGATGCAGCCATCAAGACGAGCCACAAGAAATGTGTAAGTGGTCAACATGGCTGCGTACCTCAGGGGAGTATTGCCCGGCCAACAATGGGGCTTGTTCTTGCAACCCAGTGGCGGCATCTCCACGTACAAATGCCTATGCACATGCATCAATCAAGCACAAGGTCATAAGAACCAGACAGGGAGGACAAGATTGTTGGAGCATGAGGAGGTGCTGAAAGCGAGCATGCAGACAATTAGTTCTCTGATTTAGGTAAACTTTTTGAAATTGGATACTGCTATCCTTGATATTGATCAGATATTGACAACAACGTACCTGAAATTCAGCCACATTGCATAACTCATTGCAATGAGACATATGCAAAAGCCCGAGGCACATAAAAATGCAACTTACCTGGAACTCAGCCACGTAGACTTCCTGCTTCCTGGTTTGTAGTGATCCAGGCCTGAACAGATAAGCAGCAAACAGGAGGTACGCAACAGGTGGCAAGAAGCAGCTAACCAGAAGACGTGATGATAACAACGAATTACGAGGAGAGCATTGCGTAGCATACGAGAGATTATCCAACATCCTCCTCACGTCACACCTCACCTCATTGCTCTCACAACAGCCACAGCCTGCATCAGGAAAAGAGAACGGGTAGTATACAGGGGAAATGGTACATGTTTAGCGCAAAGCTTGCGAGCTTAAAAAAAAAAAAGAAACAACAATAACAACGCAGGGCCTTGGAGCCCAGCAAAGGAATAACAACTGGACTGAATGGGACGACGATTGGGGAGGGAGACACTGAAGGAGTTGCTTACATCAGCAGCTGCTAGGGAGTTTGCTGCAACCAAGTAACATGCAACGACAAGGCCTGTCCTTCCTGCGCATTCAAATAATTTCATGTCACCCACATGGTGTTCAAAACTGTGCGTTGTGCAACAGGCACACACGCTAGGCAGACACTTTTTTTTGTGAGGAAGTTGGAAAGAGTTCGTCACGACTGCTTTGAACAGCGAAAGTTGTGTTGCATACCTAGGCCAGCATGGCAGTGAACAGCCACCTGCACCAAACGAACAAGCAAATATCATTAGGCGGTCTTTATCAACCATTGTTAAGAGCCCAGAAATGAAGCATGAATGGTTTATACAGATACTGGCAGTGAAAGTACACCTGCTATAGAATAAATACCTTCGAGTAACTATGAACACGGAAAAAGAAAGGCTGCACAGATTGCACACCTTGTGGCGGCGGCCAATGGCGAGGGAGATGCTCTGCACGATGGAGAGCATGGTTGGGAAAGGCGGACATGCCATGTCCTTCCATGGTGCATGCAGGTAACCGACTGGCCACGCAGGGACGGAAGGATGATATGGAGATGTCAGTGCAGGAGTGGTTGCGGGGTGAGAGTGGGGAAGAAAGTGAGTGGCATGGTTGGGAAGGGGGGGCATGACACGTCCTTCCAGGGTGCATGCAGGTAACCCACTGGCCACACAACACAAGCACGGACGGATGGACGGATGGGATATGAATGGCATGGATGTTTCTGTCAGTGCAGGAGTCCTTGAGAGAGAAAGCGAGGGAGAGGGAGACAATGTCAAGAACAGAGACCAGTTGAAAAGGGGGAGTAACTGAGTTCTAGAAAGCAAGATCTCGGCAAAAGCATAAGATAGTGTTTGTCAGGAGCGGACCTCCAGCCTTGATGAACTTGTCAGGAGTGTAGGAGAATCCCGATGCTGTGATCCCTGACCCACACCACGGATGCTCCCCTGCTTCCTGTGTGCGTGCACGGAGAAAAAAAGCATTGATTTCCGTTTCTGGTGTGCTCAAAACGAGAGATGACGATTGAGCCTGGTCCTTTTTTCCAGCAGGTATGTTCTATGCACCCATATGTACCTACATATGCATTCATGCATACCACCATATGCACCCATCTGTACCTCCACTACCTCCATATGAACCCATCCGTACCTCCAGGTTCACGATCAGCCTGATGCCTCGTTCCGCGAATCTATCCACCAACCCCTCCTCAATCATCGCGTCCGTCGGTCTCGCACACGCCAGCAGCTCGTTCGTCACCCAATCGGAGTGCAAACCGCGAAACGCCTCTTGACCGTTCTGCAACCGGAAGTCCTCGTGTCGGCACCCGGAGGGGGACCCCAGGCCTTCTAAAAAGCAGACTATCCTATCCGTGATGCCGTTTTCTTTCCAGGAAGGAGCCGATGAGTTCGCGGATGAATTCTCGGATGTCTCAAACGTGGAATCAGTGACGCCATTTTGATGTCTCGTAGACTCATAAGAAGACGAGGAGGACGTGCTGGCAATCATGGTATTGGAACGAGGGAACTGGAGGAAGTGCGGTGTGATACAATTTGGCTGCTGTGGTCGTCAGAAAACTATTTCGACGTAAATTGGTACTTGCAAAATCGTAGTTACATGACGGGAAGCTACAGCAAACGAATTCTGGGTTTCAGCTGCCAACTGGTCTCAGGAATCAATATCACCGCGAGTAGCGTCAAACCAAAGACAGCAGTGAGAGATAAATTACGGCGGACAATTGTTTACCGGCTCTGCCGCTGACAGCAGTTTTTTTCCAGCCTTCACAAAATGCAGACAGAGGCACGGAGGGAGAAATGATATGTTTCATACGTCAGGCAGGTTGACCAACTCACGCTGTCGCAGAATTCACTTTCACACACTCGTTGTCTCGTGACCCTGCCGAACCGAACGCACCAAAAGTTGGCGGGGGGTGCTGCTGGGCTACCAAACCACAATGGCGAGGCTCGAACAGGCCAGGCCTAACGTAGCTTGCCATGGCATCAGGTTTGACAACCCGAGGCAAGAACAGGCTGGCCTTTTGGTGCTTTCTCCAAATTCGTTTTCCACAACGGTACATATCGTCTCAAAACGATTCAGCTTGGTGCGGAGTGAACTGTTCCAGCTTCCTTCCGATTATATATATATTTTTTCCATTTTGGATTCCTTGTGCTCCTGAATCCTTCTTCCTCAGCTGATTGCACTTTACCGAAGAACCTGCTAGCGGGAATATATTTCAGTCGCAAAACAGCAAGCCAATTTCACTGAACCTCCATGCTCCGTAATGATACATACACATTACCTGCAAGATTAGTGACATGGCTTGTGTTTCGCAAAGTAGAGATTGAGTCAATAGCGGGAGAAGCAGGAGAGTAGAAATAGCGTGCGAGCGGAAGTAACACGCTCTGGGATCACAGCAGCCATGGCTGTGTCTGATGCAGCGGAGTGGACGGAGCTCTCCAACTGCTTCTATCGCGTACAGCCTCTGCCAGACCTGCAATGGCAGGTGAAGAATACGTGTCACCTTCCTCCGGTGTCGAGAACTAGCGCTTCGGACACACAGACGGCCACGTTTTCCGCTTGTTGATGCTAATTCCAATCCGTTAACGTCATGACGATAAGCAGCATCCGTGTAGACACTTTCGGTCCATCTATACCGTCAGCCATCCGGATTCAGTTTACTATATGAAAACTTAGTAGCTGGTTTCCGATTCCTGTGAAATGCGAAGCTGGTCGCCGGTACTTCCGCCTTAAAGGAGGGCTTATCAGACCAAATGGTCAACTTTTGACCCGTGTATCCTGATTTTTTCCGTTTCCCGCTCCCCTCCCCACGTAGGACGTGGACCTATCAGAACTCATGGTCGCCTGTGCGCCTTACGGTGGACCAATCGCCACCGTCCGCGACCCGAACCACCTTTCCAGGCGCGGCAGCAGTGCAGGCTCGGCAGCGCAGGCTCGGCAGTACATATCAGTGTTCTCAGCAGCTGGACGGCCGATTTCGCGGTTTTTGTGGGAGCCTCCGGGAGGGAGGCTGATGGGGTTGGGGTGGAGAGAGGATGCAGTGGGAGGGCTGGTGCTTGTAACGGTGCTTGAAGACGGCACTGTTCACCAGGTGAGATTACAGCGAAGGAATCTTTGTGTGTCTTTCATCTATGTTGATTTGACAGAAGCTTCAGTTCGCCCTTTACTCCTTTCTCTGTTCCACACACGAACGAGCAGAGTTCCATGGCATGGGAATGTCACTCTCTCCACTCCCACCCCCCATCCCCCAATGCCCCACCCCTACACCTACGTGCAGTGCTCAATGCATGGGAAGGGTACTCTCCCTCGAATCCCCCTCCACACGACCAACCTAGAGGGCATCACAGAGGCTCTCTCGTCCCCCTCCCCCCCCTTCCCCCTCCACCCCTCACCCTGCAGTGTTCCATGCATGGGAAGGGCACTCTCCCTCGAATCCCCCTCCACACAACCAACCTAGAGGGCATCACGGAGGCTCACATATTCGGCATGAGAGGGGGAGGAGATAGAGGAGGAGGGGAAGGGGGAGATACGGGGGGTGATGGCACGGAGGGGGAGGCAAGGGATAGGGGAGGGGGAGAAGAAGGGGGGAGGAGCAGAGGGGGAGGGCGTGTGGCGGCGGGAGTGGTGTGCTTGACTGAGAGTTGTCAGCTGCTGGCAATGGTGGACTTTGATGTGAGTATAACGAAATGCGGATGTGAGTGGAGTGGAGAGCAGGGTGAGTGGTATATGATTGTAATAAATACCCAGAGGTCTTCCCCCTGGCGGACCCAGGCTTCTCAGAGCCACTGACAGGTTTTAATGCCTTTCCCCTTCCCCACTCTCCACTCCCCCTTTCCCCCTTCCCCCCATTCCCCCCATTTCCCCCCTAGCAGGAGCCAGAGGTCTTCCCCCTGGCAGACCCAGGCCTCTCAGAGCCATTGACAGTGTCAAGCCACCTTCCCCCTTTTCGTTCCCCAACCACTACCCCCCCCACACTTCCCCCCCAACAGGAACCAGAGGTCTTCCCCCTGGCGGATCCGGGCCTCTCTGAACCGCCCGCCTGCATGGCTGTGCTAGAGCCCGTGATGACGTCATCGGATGACGTCAGCGGGTCCCAGGTGGCGGTGCTGCTGGGAACGGAGGCGGCTCTCTTGAGGGTGGATGGGGACACGGTGCAGCGCGTGGTGAGCTGTGAGGGGTGTGGGGTGTGGGGGGTGGAAAGATCTGGTGAATGGATGGGGGGAGTTCAGGGGTTTATCAGTTGGCTTCTCAAGAGCCTCTCTGCTCTGTTGGTTCCACTCTCAACAGTTGGAACGAACGTGGCTCCCTTGAGGGTGGATGGGGCGACGGTGCAGCACGTGGTGAGAGGTTGCTAAAGATGGGGGACTGGCTGGTTAATGAAAAGCTTTTTTTTGCCTGGCACGAATGCTGCTCTGCTGCACATGCATGGATGGGGCGACGGTGCAGTGCGCATCGTTCCCCATTCTCCCCTCCCTCACCTCCTTCCCCCCCCACCTTACTTCCCCCCCTCATCTCCCCCCACCCTCACCTCCCCCCCCCCTCATCTCCCACCCCTCAACTCCCCCCCCTCACCTCCCCCCTTCACCTCCCCCCCTCACCTCCCTTCAACTGCCCACAGGGTGCCCCAGAGATGTCCAAAGCAGTGCAGCGCATGGGCCAACGGTGCAGCGCGCATTGTTCCCCATTCTCCCCTCCCCTCTACTTCTCCCTCACCTCCCCCCTGTCACCTCCCCCCACTCCTAAGTTGGATCTTACGTTTTCGGTTCCTTACGTTTTCGGACGATTACGACAATTTTTACATTTACGAACGGTCGCCCTGATTCGGCCTTACGTTTACACTCACCAAAAAACCTTTCTGACCTGCCCGAGGAAAAAAAACGACCAGAGCATCAGGAAGATTCCCTCCAAACTAGTTCTGTAACTCGATATCTTGTTCGACGTCAACCTAGCAGCTCGTTCACAACCTATCGTGTTTCTCTCTTACTAACCTGGTCAACGCTGAATCTGAAACTTTCAGACTTGAAAGGCGCTCCATACATAGTAAAGTCGCTATTCTATGCAGGTACACGACAAATTAGTGGTAGGATCTGGTACCCGTACACAATCCAGAAAAAAAAATATCAAAGTAGTTTTTTTTTCCTGCCCGTCTCATACTTACGCGTAATTTTACGTTTCCGTTTACGTTTACGCTAAATTACACGAAATTTACGTTTACGAGACCTCAAAAAACGTAAGAGACCAACTTAGCCCCACTCACCTCCCCCCCCTCACCCCCTCTCAAACTGCCCGCAGGATTCCCCAGAGATGTCCACAGCAGTGCAGAGCATACCTTCCCCATTCGTACCTCCCCTCTTCTCCCTCGCCTCTGCCATCCTCCCCGCTCACCCTCCCCCTTCACCTCCTCTCAACTGCCTGCATGTCCAAAGCAGTGCAATGCATAGGGCGACGGTGCAGCGCGCACTGTTCCCCATTCTCCCCTCCCCACTACTTCTCCCTCACCTCCCCCCTCCCCACTTCACCTCCCCTCAACTGCCCACAGGGTTCCCCAGAGATGTCCACAGCAGTGTAGAGCATACCTTCCCCATTCGTACCTCCCCTCTTCTCCCTCGCCTCTGCCATCCTCCCTCCGCACCTCCCCCCCCTTCACCTCCTCCCAACTGCTCCCAGGGTGCCCCAGAGATGACCACAGCAGTGCAGCGCATGGCAGTGTCAGCTTCCGGGAAGCTTCTGGCGTGCTTCACGGCGGATGGTCAGCTGCATGTGCTGCTGACGTCAGACCTCTCCAGGCGGATCTCCCACTATGACACTCAGGTCAGAGAAGGGGTAAATAGACCCGAATTGTTAGTGACACTTGGGTGATTACACCCATAGAGGGCAGCTTGACGTTAGACCTCTCCAGGCGGATCTCCCACTGCGACACCCAGGTGGGGGAAGGGGTAGATTGAATCCATTCTGACACCTGAGTGGTCACAAATACCTGGGTGGGTCAGTCTGACACCATACCTCTCCAGGCGGATCGCCCTCTATGACACCCAGGTGGGAGGTGGGGTAAATAGACCCGAATTGTTAGTAACACTTTGGTGAGTACCCCATAGGAGTAGCTTGACGTCAGACCTCTCCAGGCGGATCTCCCACTACGACACTCAGGTGGGGGATGGGGTAAATAGAATCCAGTGGTTACAAAAACCTGGGTGGGTCAGTCTGACACCATACCTCCCCAGGCGGATCCCCCTCCCTCTATGGCACTCAGGTGGGAGATGGGGTAAATAGACTCAAATGGTTAGAAAAACTTCTTTCGAGGCGCCTGAAAAGAGGGCAGCACCCCTGCCAGGAAGGCTCGGGTCTCCTCTCAGCACCCCCCCCCCCTGCCCTCGTGCTGGCGGGCCTGCCTGGGCACGCCATCAAGCACTCCCTGCCCTCGTGCTGGCGGGCCTGCCTGGGCACGCCATCAAGCACTCCCTGCCCTCGTGCTGGCGGGCCTGCCTGGGCACGCCATCAAGCACTCCCTGCCCTGCCCTGCCCACGCAACCCTCCTTTCTCCCGTGCCTCCATGCCTCCACTCCATGTGTGCAGATTGTGCTACCACCAGACCAGACGCCATGGCATGGTGTGGCGAGGACGCGGTGCTGCTCTCCTGGCAGCACCCCCCTGCTCGGGCCTCATCCACACACAGATACTCTCTCCCCTCTCCCTCCTGCAGATCGTGTTACCACCAGACGCCATGGCATGGTGTGGCGAGGATGCGGTGCTCCTCTCCTGGCAGCACCCCGCTGCCCTCATGCTCACATGCACACCCTCCCCTCCCTCACCTCCTTCCCCCACCATCCCCTGCTGCAGATCGTGCTACCACCACACGCCATGGCATGGTGTGGAGAGGACACGGTGCTGCTCACCAGGCAGCACCCCCCTGCACTTATGCTAATGGACCCTGGGCATGCCATCAAGTGCTCTCTGCCCTGCCCTGACCGCCCATGTGCCCACTGCTTGTGTGCAGATAGTGCTACCACCAGATGCCATGGCATGGTGTGGCGAGGACGCGGTTCTCCTCTCCTGGCAGCACCCCACTGCCCTCATGCTCGTCGGCCCTGGGGATGCCATCAAATACTCATTAGGAGGGGAAGAGGACGACGAGGAGGAGGTGGAGGGGGAGGAGGAAGATGGGGAGATAGAGGGAGAGGCAGGAGGGGAATGGAGTAGGCGCCGCGCGTTCGGCTTGGCAGCTCTTCGCAGGTGTGTACTGGTTGAAATGTCTCAAATCAAATCTACTTTCACCCACTTGCATGCATGTCAAGTGTGCTGCGTGCATGGCCCGTCTCCTTCCCCTACCCTTCTGGTTCAACGCTTGTGGTTTTCCCATTATCACCACGCACTCCTCCTTTTCCTGTTTTTCTCAGTGTTCCAGCCTCGGAATTGAGCCCATTCCTCCATGCTCTTTGAAGTTTGCAGAAATCACTTCGTTCTCTTTTACGAGTGACATGCCATTCACTCTTCCCTTACACTTTCGCCTGTTTTGTTTGACCCATTACCTCCCCTACTTTTTCCCCACCCCTTCTGCTTCCCCTCTCGACACCACAGTGTGCCAGCGCCAGCATCAGCGCTTGACACCACCACCACCACCACCACCGACAGCTGCCTAATCCTCATTCCCGAGTGTGACGGCGTCCGTCTGCTCTCCTCCTCCCACTCCGACTTCATCTCTCGGGTTCCCGAACCCACCGTAGCCGCCTTTGCTCTCGCCAGCACCGCTCTCCTGATAGAGGTGTTTCACTCACTCTGTTCAACGCCCCGTTCCCCCATTGCCGGTTTCCCATTACCCTTTTGCCCTCCCTCTGTTTTCCCTGCCCATCACACCAGTGTGCCAGCGTCAGCATCAGCCCTTGACACCACCACCACCACCACCACCGACAGCTGCCTAATCCTCATTCCCGAGTGTGACGGCGTCCGTCTGCTCTCCTCCTCCCACTCTGACTTCATCTCTCGGGTTCCCGAACCCACCGTAGCCGCCTTTGCTCTCGCCAGCACCGCACCCCCTGCTCTGCTTCTAGAGGCGTTTCACTCGCTTTGTTCCCATTACCTCCCCTTTTCTCCTTCCCCTGGCCCTCACACACCACAGTGTGCCAGCGCCAGCATCAGCCCTTGATACCACCACCGCCACCACCGACAGCTGCCTAATCCTCATCCCCGAGTGTGACGGCGTCCGCCTCCTCTCCTCCTCTCACTCCGATTTCATCTCTCGGGTCCCCGAACCCACCGTAGCTGCCTTTGCTCTCGCCAGCACCGCACCCCCGGCTCTCCTCCTAGAGGCGTTTGGGCTGTTTGAGAGGCGGTCGGGGAAGGCGGATGAGCATGTGAGGGCGATGGGGGTGGCGGTGATGGGGGAGGCGGTGCGAGGGTGCATGCATGCTGCTGCGCATGAGGGGGATGTGGATGGGCAGAAGCGGCTGCTCGCTGCTGCTGCCTTTGGCAGGGCATTCTGCAGGTGAGCTAGCAGCCTAACCAGCTAGCAGCATAGCCTAGGCTAGTGTTTTCTCTCGCCAGCACCCACCCCTCTTCGCCCCCCCTGCTCTCCTGCTAGAGGCGTTTGGTTTGGGCTGTTTGAGAGGCGGTCGGGGAAGGCGGACGAGCATGTGAGGGCGATGGGGGTGGCAGTGATGGGGGAGGCGGTGATGGGGGAGGCGGTGATGGGGGAGGCGGTGATGGGGGAGGCGGTGATGGGGGAGGCGGTGATGGGGGAGGCGCTCATGGGGAAGGCGGTGATGGGGGAGGCGCTCATGGGGAAGGCGGTGATGAGGGAGGCTGTGATGAGGGAGGCAGTGCGTGGGTGCATGCACACTGCAGCACATGAGGGGGATGGGGATGGGCAGGATGGTTGGATGGAAGGATGGTAAATATTGAGCACGATTATATGGGATGGGTGATGTGCTGATAGGGGTGGCGGTGGTGGGGCTGGCAGTGCAGCAGTTGGTGGTCTGGTCATGTGTATGCTTACTATCCATTTCACCTCTCGTCTCCACCCTTACTCTTTCTTTCCAGGAAGTTTCCTCGCGATCGCATGATGAGTCTGTGCAAGGACTTGCGGGTGTTGAACGCTGTGCGGAGGGCAGAGGAGGACGGGCTGACCAATGGCGTGAGGGCAATGGAGACAGCTGGCATGCCGCTCACGTACGCACAATACAAGGTGAGTACAGGGCAGTCAGTCAGTCATGCATCCATCTATTGCGTTTGAGGGTGCTCAGCTGAGTGCGGTGCAGTGGGCATAGGAGGACGGGCTGACCAACGGCGTGAGGGCCATGGAGACAGCTGGCATGCCCCTCACTTACGCGCAGTACAAGGTGCGCGCACAGGCCAGTCAAGCATATGTGCATCCTCTGTGACGATTTTCAAGGTGCTAAAAGAAGTGTTTTGAGACGGCTCAAAGCACTCAGTGCAGCCTTCCGGCATGTATCCACCGTGACCATTTTCAAGGTGCCTTACGAACAGTCAAATGCCATAAAAAGTGCAGTTTTACAAGCACTCATTTCCACCTATGACAATTGACCCGCCAAACCCCCTTCATTCCCTCCCTGCTCACCCCTCAGGAGCTCTCCCGAGCTCGTCTCATCGCCCTCCTGTGCTCCACACACCACCACCTGCTCGGCCATGGCAACTGACTTTCGAAACAAATCAAGTCATGCTTACTATGCGCGCGCCTCTCTCCTACCCCCCCACTCCTCAGGAGCTCTCACGGGCTTGTCTCATCGCCCGCCTGTGCTCCACACACCACCACCTGCTCGCCCATGGCTTCATACTCTCTATTATCCCCCTCTTCTTCTGCCTCTCGCCTCAGGAGCTCTCCCCAGCGCGTCTCATCGCCCGCCTGTGCTCCACACACCACCACCTGCTCGCCCATGGCTTCATACTCTCTATTATCCCCCTCTTCTTCTGCCTCTCGCCTCAGGAGCTCTCCCCAGCGCGTCTCATTGCCCGCCTGTGCTCCACACACCACCATCTGCTCGCTCTTCGCGTAGCTGCATTTCTCGGCCTTCGCACGGTAATGGTAATGGTAATGGTAATGGGTAATGGGTAATGGTAATGGTAATGATAATGGTAAAGGTAATGGGTAATGGGTAATGGTAACTGGTAATTGGTAATGGTAATGGTAATGGTAATGGTATTGGTAATTGTAATTGTAATGGTAATGGTAATGGGTAATGGTAATGGGTAATTTGTAATGGTAATGGTAATGGTGATGGTGATGGTGATGGTGATAGTGATGGTAATGGTAATGGTAACGGTAATGGTAATGGGTGATGGCAACGTAATGGGTAAGGGTAAGGGTAATGGGTAATGGTAATGGTAATGGGTAATGGTAGTGGGTAATTGGTAATGGTAATGGTAATGGTAATTGTAATGGTAATTGTGATGGTAATGGTAGTGGTAATGGTATTTGTAATGGTAATGGTAACGGTAACGGTAAGGGTAACGGTAATGGGTAATGGTAATGGTAATCGTGTGAGATTCTCAGCCGTCTCTTTTCCCTCATCTTTGGGAGCTTAGCACCATTTTCGAGATCTTCTCTCCTTCAGTTTGTCGTTCCCTTCCATCCATCTTTCCTCACCTTGTGCCTTTCTCCGTGCGAGTGTCTTGGCACATTGGGCAACTTCAATTTTTGCCTCTTCGCTTGTAGCTCTGTCTCTGCATATACCCACGAGAAGAGTGTGTTGGAACATTGGGCTATCTCCAAACCTTTCCTTCTCACTCCCTTCCTTTCATGTCTCGCCTTTGTTCATGCATTGCCCCTCTTCTTTATGCGTACCCACCAGGAGAGTGTTCTGGAGCAGTGGGCGATCTCCAATATCCCTTCTCATTACTTTTCCTCACCCCCCCGCCCCTCCTGCCTTCCCTTGCCGCCCTGTCTCTGCTGATACCCACTAGGAGAGTGTGTTGGAGCACTGGGCTATCTCCAAGATCCTATCTGCATCGCAAATGCCTGATGAAGTGCTCTACGACACCATAACAAAGCAGGCGAGTCACTTTATAGCGCAGCAGAACCATTCACTTCGAAATTTGGCCTCACTCGTTTGCCCACACTCGTCTACCCATACTCGTTCTCCCACCCTCGCTTGCCACTCGTTTTCCCATACTTGTTTGCCCACCCTTGTGGATACCTAATTATGAACTTATTCATTTATGTACTGGCCCATTCCCTCCTCTTCACCACCCTCTATAGATCGACACAGACAAGCGTGGAAGCCTCGCAGTATCCTTCGCAGCCGTGGCTACAGTGGCATTTCATACAGGCCGGCACGAGCTGGCCACGCGGCTGCTGGAGAGGGAGGTTCACACGGGGAGGCAGGTGAGATGAGATGCATGGTGGCAGGTGAGATGAGATGCATGGTGGCAGGTGAGTGATGGTGAGTGACAGGCTAGACAGGGCCAATCCTACTTCTCAAATGCTTCAGGATTTTTTTCTCTTTCTCCCTTCCTTCCCCTCCTTTTTTCCACTCTCCTTCCCCCTTTGCAGGTGCGCCTGCTCTTGGAAATGGGAGCGTTTGAGGCGGCACTGTGGAAGGCAGAGGCGGGGCCAGATGCGGATTTCGTGCTCCAAGTGCTCTTTCAACTGCTCGATAAGGTGCGATTCTGCATGCTTGCTGGCTTGCATGCTTGCTTGCTGTTCAATCCGGGGCTCTCTGCTCCTTAATAATACGAGCTGGTTTTTTTAGAATTCTCAAAAACCAGCTCACTGCTCCTTTATAAACAGCTTTCTTGTGCCTCGATAAGGTTTGTGTTTGGCTGACTCGTGTGGGATGGTTGCTGCTGCATGTGGGCCGGATGCCAGATGCGGATAAGGGTGATAAGCGAGTATGCGGAACTCTCGATGTGGCGAGTTTGTGCTCCCGAGCAGAGCAACTTAACCCAACCCAACCCAACTCAACCCAACCCAACCCAACACAACCACACAGGCGCCAGAGGAGCAGATGTTTGAGCTTCTCAGGAGCCACTCCACTGCCCTAGGGGGTGATTGCTTGACCCACTGGCACAGCCCAACCCTATCTAACCCAACCCAACCGCACAGGCGCCAGAGGAGCAGGTGTTTGAGCTGCTCAAGAGCCACCCCACTGCCCGAAGCCTCTTCATCTCATACTGCAAGTGAGCGCCCTCTCTCAACACGCCCGTATTAACATTATTTCTGTTTACCATAGTGCCAAGTTCGTTTCCTTTTTTTTTTAACTTTTTTTGTCCCTTGAATCACATCATTTGTTTTTTTCTGTGAGCATAACAATTCCTACTATGTGTTTTCCCCCCCTGTTTGCCCCTTTCCCCCTCTCTGTTCTTTCCCAGAAAATCCGACATTCCTCTTCTCATGCGGTTCTATGAGCACTCCTCCATGCACCAGGTGATTTGGCAGGTGGCATTTCAGGTGATTTGGCAGCTGGCGTTTCAGGTGGTGGTAGGTGGCGTTTCAGGTGATCTGGCAGGTGGCATGTCGGGTGGGTGCAATGTCAGACAACTCATCAGGTGGTATGGTAGGTGGTATGTTATAATTGTGATGCACCTGCAACCACCTGCCCTACCTTCTTCATATACTCACCGCCTATTGCACTTCCTTTCTCACCGCACCCCCCTGTCACACACAGTGTGCGGCTGAGCAGATAGTGAAACAGGGGATTCTAGAGGGCGGAAACAGGTTGGGGGCAGGGGCGGCAGAGAGGGTGAGGGAGCTGGAGGTAGCAGCAGCAGAGCTCTCATCCAACCCCCCCTCTTCCCCTCCTATTACTCTCCCCTCCTTCCCCACTCTTTCGTCCCCTCGGCCCATCCAGTGTGTGGCAGAGCAGATCGTGAAACAGGGATAGCAAGATGGGGGGAACAGATGGTGAGGGAGCTCGAAGCAGCAGCAGGGCTGCTCTTGCCCACCACGCCCCTCCCTTTCTCCCGCCCTCTCTCCCTTCCTCATCCCCCACCCTTGTCGATCTCAGTGTGTGGCAGAGCAAATTGTGAAGCAGGGATTGCAGGAGGGGTTGAACAGGTGGGGGGCGGAGAGGGTGAGGGGGCTCGAAGCAGCAGCAGAGCTCTCACCCAACCCATCTCTCTATTGTTCCTTTTTCCACTCCCTGTCGCTCTCAGTGTGTGGCAGAGCAAATTGTGAAGCAGGGATTGCAGGAGGGGCTGAATAGGTGGGGAGCGGAGAGGGTGAGGGAGCTCGAAGCAGCAGCAGAGCTCCTCTCACGGACCAGAGACCACGGGTTTCAGTCAAAAGCGGTGGAAGATTCCGTGAAGCTCCTGCGGTGAGTGCAGGACGGGATGGGGGCAACAGGTGGGCGGCAGAGAGGGTGAGAGAGCTTGAGGCAGCAAGGGAGCTGATCGTGAAGCAGGAGGTGCAGGAGGGTTTGAACAGGTGGGGAGCCGAGAGGGTGAGGGAGCTCGAAGCAGCAGCAGAGCTGCTCTCACGGACCAGAGACCACGGGTTTCAGGCAAAAGCAGTGGAAGATTCTGTTAAGCTTCTGCGGTACGTGTGGGGTGTTTCGTGGTGTTGTGGGTGGGAGTGGGGGTGATGCTGATGCTGATGCTGATGCTGATTGTGGTCTCAGCAGCAGCAGCAGCTACATCAAGCACGGACATGTCTTGAGCACACTGAACACTGCCAGTTGCTGCCCACCTGCTAGCTGTTTCCAGAGGTTGGCAGTGGTGCATCGTTGCACAGAAGGCAGTGGTGCATCGTTGCACAGAAGGCAGTGGTGCATCGTTGCACAGAAGGCAGTGGTGCATCGTTGCACAGAAGGCAGTGGTGCATCGTTGCACAGAAGGCAGTGGTGCATCGTTGCACAGAAGGCAGTGGTGCATCGTTGCACAGAAGGCAGTGGTGCATCGTTGCACAGAAGGCAGTGGTGCATCGTTGCACAGAAGGCAGTGGTGCATCGTTGCACAGAAGGCAGTGGTGCATCGTTGCACAGAAGGCAGTGGTGCATCGTTGCACAGAAGGCAGTGGTGCATCGTTGCACAGAAGGCAGTGGTGCATCGTTGCACAGAAGGCAGTGGTGCATCGTTGCACAGAAGGCAGTGGTGCATCGTTGCACAGAAGGCAGTGGTGCATCGTTGCACAGAAGGCAGTGGTGCATCGTTGCACAGAAGGCAGTGGTGCATCGTTGCACAGAAGGCAGTGGTGCATCGTTGCACAGAAGGCAGTGGTGCATCGTTGCACAGAAGGCAGTGGTGCATCGTTGCACAGAAGGCAGTGGTGCATCGTTGCACAGAAGGCAGTGGTGCATCGTTGCACAGAAGGCAGTGGTGCATCGTTGCACAGAAGGCAGTGGTGCATCGTTGCACAGAAGGCAGTGGTGCATCGTTGCACAGAAGGCAGTGGTGCATCGTTGCACAGAAGGCAGTGGTGCATCGTTGCACAGAAGGCAGTGGTGCATCGTTGCACAGAAGGCAGTGGTGCATCGTTGCACAGAAGGCAGTGGTGCATCGTTGCACAGAAGGCAGTGGTGCATCGTTGCACAGAAGGCAGTGGTGCATCGTTGCACAGAAGGCAGTGGTGCATCGTTGCACAGAAGGCAGTGGTGCATCGTTGCACAGAAGGCAGTGGTGCATCGTTGCACAGAAGGCAGTGGTGCATCGTTGCACAGAAGGCAGTGGTGCATCGTTGCACAGAAGGCAGTGGTGCATCGTTGCACAGAAGGCAGTGGTGCATCGTTGCACAGAAGGCAGTGGTGCATCGTTGCACAGAAGGCAGTGGTGCATCGTTGCACAGAAGGCAGTGGTGCATCGTTGCACAGAAGGCAGTGGTGCATCGTTGCACAGAAGGCAGTGGTGCATCGTTGCACAGAAGGCAGTGGTGCATCGTTGCACAGAAGGCAGTGGTGCATCGTTGCACAGAAGGCCGTGGTGCATCGTTGCACAGAAGGCCGCATATACAATCTCCTTCCTCTTCGTCCCTCCTTGCGTGACCCGCGCCCGTCTCTCTTCCCTCTCTCACCCAGTTTTCAGCAGCAGCTGGAGGCAGCAGGGATGCACCTGGCCCCACCCACCACCACTGCCACTGCAACTGCCACTACCACTGGTGCAGGGAAGGTTTCTGATTCCACTTTCCTCTCTCTGTCCCACGCCCTTCTCTCCCTTGCACAGCTTTCAGCAGCAGTTGGATGCAGCAGGGATGCAGCTTCCCCCACCCACCACCACTGCCACTGCCACTGGTGCAGGGGAAGGTGGGGGGATTGGGGAGGAGGAGGGCAGGAGGAGGAGTGTGGTGGGAGCGAGTGTGAACGAGACGATTGCTGCTTGCCTGGCTGCGGGGAACCACAGGGAAGCGCAGAAGCTGAAGGGCGATTTCAAGGTGAGACGTGCTTTCAAGGTGAGACGTGCTTTCAAGGTGAGACGTGCTTTCAAGGTGAGACGTGCTTTCAAGGTGAGACGTGCTTTCAAGGTGAGACGTGCTTTCAAGGTGAGACGTGCTTTCAAGGTGGGACCTGATTTCAAGTCGACCTATTCTATCTCAAAGAACTGGTTCCAGGAGTGGCGCCCTCTGGTGGGGCTGCTGGTACCTCCCTACCCCCTCTGGTGGGGCTGCTGGTACCTCCCTACCCCCTCTGGTGGGGCTGCTGGTACCTCCCTACCCCCTTCCAACAACTACCTGTATCATCTGTCGTCTACATTCTGTACCCTTTATACGCAGGTACCGGAGAGGCGCTACTATTGGCTGAGACTGCAGGCCTTAGCTCGCCTGAGGGACTGGGAGGGGCTGGAAAAGCTGTTCAAGGAGCGACGGCCTCTGGTGGGGCTGCTACAACCCTAAACCCTAAACCCACTCCTCCCATGGCCTGCACTTCATTTCATACCCCATATAAGCAGGTTCCGGAACGACGCTACTACTGGCTGAGACTGCAGGCCCTGGCTCGAATTAGGGACTGGGAGGGGCTGGATAAGCTGTTCAACGATGTTGGGATTGGCGCGCCTAAGGGATTGGGAGGGGCGGGAAAAGCTGTTCAAGGAGCGACGGCCTCTGGTGGGCCAGCTGGTATCCCTATCCCTATCCCATCATCTGCATTTTGTACCCTTGATAAGCAGGTACCAGAGAGACGCTATTATTGGCTGAGACTGCAGGCTCTGGCGCGCCTAAGAGACTGGGAGGGGCTGGAAAAGCTGTTCAAGGAGCGACGGCCTCTGGTGGGGCTGCGGGCGTTTGTGGAGGCGTGTGTGGAGCAAGGCGCTGTGGTGGAGGCTGCTAAGTATGTCGGCAGGATTGCAGATGCGGGCGAAAGGGAAGAGGTGAGAAGGGGTTGGGTTGGGTGCAGGGGAGGTTGTGGTGAGCGGATGTGCATGTGAGTGTTTGTGGAAGCATGTGTGGAGCAAGGCGCCGTGGTGGAGGCTGCTAAATACGTTGGGAGGATTGGAGATGCGGGCGAGAGGGAAGAGGTGAGCAGGGGTTGAGTTGGGTGCAGGGGAGTTTGTGGTGAGTGGGTGGGGTTGAGGGCGTTTGTGGAGGCGTGTGTGGAGCAAGGCGCCGTGGTGGAGGCTACTAAATACGTTGGGAGGATTGGGGACGCGGGTGAAAGGGAAGAGGTGAGAAAGGATTGGGTTGGGTTGGGTGCAGGGTGGGCAGGTGAACGGGTGGGCCTAGGGGCCTTTGTGAAGGCGTGTGTGGAGCAAGGCGCTGTGATGGAGGCTGCTAAATATGTCGGCAGGATTGGCGACGCAGGAGAAAGGGAAGAGGTGAGAAGTGAGGGGCAGGGGATGGAAGTGGACTCGAAAAGAGGGCGGGAAGATTAGCGGGTGTGCATGCAAGTGTTTGTCGAGGCGTGTGTGGAGCAAGGGGCGGTGCTTGGAGCAGCTAAATACAATCTGACATGATTGGGAGTGTGAACGAGAGGGACGAGGCAAGATGCATTTTGGATGATTGGGAGAGGTGGTGAGAAGGTTAGGGAGTGAGAGGAGGTTTTGATGAATGTTCTTGTTCTTACTCTTATACACTCTGCCACTTCACATTTTCACCCTCGTCCTATACCCTCTCCACCATCACTTCCACCTTCACTTCCATCCACTCCCACAACCTCCCGCCACCATCTTACACCCACCTCAATGCAGCTCTCTCGGCGGTTCAACCTTCCAGACCTGACATCCGAAGCAGCAGCTGCTGCAGCAGCAGAGAGGGGCGAGGGTGCAATTCTTGGTACTCTGCGATCGTTTGCCGCTGCTGGCAGCGCTGCAGGTGCTGCTGCTGTTGCCGCAAACCCCACAGCTTCCTCCTTTTTCGGCTTCGGTGGCTTATCGTTCAGTGGTAGGGGTGAAGGGTGAAGGATGCTATGTAGATAAAACATATTTGGGAAATTTCTCTGTTTTTTTTTTTTTTTTTTTTTTTTTTTTTTTGGTATCAATGAAGTGCATGACTGCAGTTGCCCTATAGTATGCTTACTCAAACTAGGTCAAGTGTAGCACGATGTGAGGAATTTTCTCGATATTCCTTAGCGCGCCCTGCAACATCGCGTACAGCAGCAGCCGTTGTTCGCCCGTTACTGCTAACGGGGCTTCACCGACTTCGCGCGCACTGTTTCACCAAACCTCGCACTGCTGGCCCGGCCGGGTCTGAGGAAAGTAGAACGAGAATGGAATGACTAAGGAATGGAAGTGATACAAATATGCAACCCTAGAAATGTGTACCCCATATAGGCTACCCCACTATAGCTTACACAATATTATAATTTGACACACCCCCATAGGCAAAGTGGGGGAGAACAAGGGGTCACAAGACCAGTCAAGCAAAGCAGACAAAGCTCAAGGTGGATCACAATGTCATCACACAGTCCGAGCACAAGGTCAAGGCAACAAGGCCAGTTCACATGCAGGAGTACACACATATATATAAGGCTAAACAAGCAAGAGCATGTATATATATATATGTAAGAGTACAAGCAAGGTCAAGGGGTGAGCAATTGAGGCAAGACGGGCACAAGACCCACCTGAGTGCAGAAGCGCTGATGATCACAAGGCGGAAGTGCCTTGGTGAAAACATCAGCAGTGTTGGCCTCAGAGGCCACGAACGCAAGTCGCAACTGACCACGCTGTTGCAACTCACGAGCAAGAAAGTAGTGGAGAGCAATGTGCTTCGTTCTGTGCTCCAAGCGCTGCTCCCGACACAAGGCCAGCATGGCCTTGTTGTCTACGTACAGCACTGGAGGAGAACGAGGCGGCTCTCCTAGGTCAGTCAGCAGGTAGGTGAGCCAGCGAAGCTCCTGTGCAGCCATGGCCCCGGCGTAGATCTCAGCCTCACAACTGGAGCCAAGAACAGAAAACGAGCGAGTAGCCGGCCACGAAACAGAGCCGGAACCAAGACTGAAGGTGTAACCCTGTGACGACCGCTGCATAGCCTAGTCGTCAGCCCAAGAAGCGTCCGCGTGCCCAGTGAGGACCACTGGACTCCGCCCTCCAAGCACTAGCCCCATGCCCGACGTACTGCACAAGTAGCGCAACACCCTCTTCGCTGCAGCCATGTGCTCTGGTCGGTGTCTCCCAGGAGCAACATAGCGTGCAAGAATGCTAAGAGGGTATGCAAGGTCAGGTCGTGTGCAGGTCATCAGGTACATGAGGCAGCCAACAAGCTCTAGATACGGGCCACTCGACTCTACGGACTCATCCGAAGGCAGAGCTGAGAGCGAGTGGCGAGTAGACAGAGGAGTGGTCTGAGGCGAGGAGTACGTGAAGCCGAAGCGCTGAAGGACCTGCTGCACCATGTGTGACTGAGTCAAGGTAATGGTGCGGCGTGCTCTGTCCCGGGTGATCTGCAAGCCAAGGTAGCTGCGCAGTTCACCCAGGTCTGTGCACGTGTGTCTCTTCTGCAGCTCCGACTTCACGTGGGCGAGTCCAGCAGTGTCAGCTGTGGCAAAGACAAAGTCGTTGATGTACACGAGGATGTAGAACGGCGGCAAAGAGGTGTCGGTGCGTAGAAACAGCGACGGGTCAGCAGTAGAGGGAGCAAACCAAAGAGCCGCAAGGGTAGTCCTCAGTGTGTCATGCCACTCGCGCGGTGCCTGGCAGAGACCGTAGACTGGCCGTCGGAGGCTCCACTGGGTGCCAGGAGGGAAAGTCCCAATGAAGCCAGGTGGACGGCGCAGCCAGATCTCCTCGTGCAGGCTACCCTGCGGGAAAGCAGTGCTGAAGTCAAGGGAGTGAAGCTCGTAGTCACGCTGAGCGACTATGTGTAGCAGCACCCGAAGAGTGGTCATCTTCGGGGTGGGAGAGAAGGTCTGAAAGTAGTCAACTCCTTGCCGCTGACTGAAGCCACGAGCCACGTACCGCGCCTTGAAGACAGGTGGAGAGCCCAGCAACCGCTTCACCCTGAAGATCCGCATGCCACTGACGATGTTCGCCCCAGGAGGAGGAACCGCGTCAACGTAGGTGCCTGTGGACTTCCAGGAAGCCATCTCTGCATCCATAGCTGCCTGCCACTGAGAGGAGTAGGGACCCTCTACAGCCTCCGCGTAAGAGCGCGGAGTCGGGATGTCAAGTGCATCAGGATCTCCCTCAGGGGTAAGCAGTACGGACACGAGATGAGGTGAAGAAGCAGCCAGACACTGGAACTCCTCCTCCCTGTCCTCAAGGACGTCCGTGCCAAGGGCACACTCACCCCCGACGGACGGAGGACAGACAGACGCAGACTCAGCAACAAGACTAGCAGCATAGTCTAGACGACAGCGAGCAGCTAAGTCGACGAGCTCGGCAACAAGAGCAGACGCAGTAGTGGACTCAAAGGAGGGGTCAGTGACAACAGTAGCAAGGAGACGCGTGACAGTAGGACTGGCAGCACGAAGAGAGTCCGACTTTGGGTCGGCAAGTGCAGGAAGAGAGGACTCAGGAGGAGAAGGCAAAGGGGCACGCAGAGGAGCAGTGAACGGACGCAGAGACATCCGGTGCGTGCCAGGGACAAGAGGAGGACGCTGACGCGAACCGCGACTAGTAGTGCGAGCAGCACGAACAGGCGACGCAGAACGAGACGCCGGCTCACGACGCTCAGCAAGACCTCCAGTAGGACCAGTGTGGGGAGAAGGAGCAGGCGGTGGGGAGGCCGGCGGAAGCTGTGACTGGGACTGGACAAGCGGTGGACACTCTAAGGGAGGAGGAAGACCAAGAACCTGCTGAAGGAGCGGAACGAAGTACGGCCGAGGCCGCGCGGCGACTCCAGACACAACAGGGACAGCACCAGCGCCAACTCCACCGCCAGCTGCAGGACCTCCAGCAGGACCAGCAGCACCCGCAGCAGGACCAGAGCCAGCAGCACCTCCAGCATCACCAGCAGCACCCCCAGCAGAACCGTCTCCAGGACTGACAGCAGTAGCCTCAGCGCCAACACTTTCAGCAGCTCCAGCTCCAGGCGAACCCGCAGGCCCAGCAGCTCCAGCACTCCCAGGACGAGCACCTCCAGTCGTAGCACCCCCGGGCTCAGCACCCCCAGTCGCAGTACCCCCAGGCTCAGCACCCCCAGTCGTAGCACCCCCAGGCTCAGCACCCCCAGTCGCAGCACCCCTAGACTCAGCACCCCCAGGCTCAGCACCCACGCGCGCAGCACCCCCCGAGTCAGCACCCCCAGGCTCAGCATCCGTAGTAGTACCAGAGTCACCAGCAACCTCGATCGGCTCGACTGCGTCTACCTGGGACACACCTGAAGGGGCAGGACCTTGAGGGGGGAGGGGGTCTACCGGGGGGGGACCTGGCACAAGGAAGTGCGGTGGCGGGGGGAGGGAAGGAGTGCGGTAGGGGAAGAGGCGGTAGTAGGGGACTTACTCGTCAAACGTGACGTCCTGGGAGGACAGAACACGACGAGAGGTGGGGTGGTAGAACTGCCACCCAGGGGCGTCAGGGGGGAAGCCAAGGAAGACACAGGGAGCAGCACGAGGGGACAGCTTGTCCGCAGACAAGTCGCGGACAAACGCTCGAGATCCCCACACACGGAACGCAGACGCATCGCCGACCTTCCCCGTCCACAGCAAGGCTGGGGAGGTCTCCGGCCTGGAGACCCTGGGGTGAAGGTTGATCTGATGCGCCGCGTATCGAACCGCAAACGGCCACAGAACATGGGGGGCAGCCGCATGCATCATGGACGTATGAGAGACGTCCATGACCATGCCAATGCGGCGCTCAGCAATCGCATTTTGCTGTGGAGAGTCCGGAAGCGTAAAGGTCTGGCGGATGCCTCGCGCACGACAGTAGGCTCGCAGAAGGCAAGAGGAGAACTCTCCGCCTCGGTCAGAGTGCAGACGCAGAACAGGAAATTCCGAGCCGAAGCTCCTCCTGAGCTGGAGACGAGCTGCGCGGATCCAGTCGATCAACACCTCAGTGACATCACCCTTGCTGCGCAAGGGGAAGACTGAGGTGTAACGCGAGTAGTCGTCAACCACCAGCAGGAAGTAGCGCTCGTGACCCTGTCCACGAACGCGGGCCGGGCCCCACACGTCCATGTGAAGCGTCTGCAGCGGGGCCTCTGTCGAGGGAAACTGAGAGTAGTGAGGGCCAGCCCGGAGCCGCCCCTCGACACAGGGAACAGAGGGAGGACCAGGCCCTGGAGGAAGGGGAGGGAGGGAGCAGGGGAGACCAGAGACAAGGACACGGGAAGCCATGCCTCGGAGACGAGGCAGGGAGGGGTGACCAAGACGGTGGTGCCACAGGAGAGTCTCGTGAGACAGGAGGCGACACGAGCAGGGGGCAGACTCAGGACCAGACCTGGACGCTGCAGCAAACACCTGACCTGACGCAGCTACCTGGCCAGAAGCAGGGACAGG